CAAAACACAGTGTCAGTATCATCTTCTAAAGCTTTTGAACATGCCCTCCAAATCCCCTTCAGAATCTCTCCAATGGCTGACTGTGACCCAAAGTTGCTCTAATTAACCTTGCTGCTCCTCAAGCACTGGGTTTTCAAGATAAATGAAAATCTATTCCTTGTTCTCATATGCCCTTGACTGAGGACACGTCTGGCCATCATCCGAGGTTCTCCTTCTGGAACATGTGGCCTTGGAACGTGTCCCCACGGACCAGGGGCAGGGACATCTGCCCAAGCAGCCAGATTGGAGGCATCCAGCCTGCTGTGGCCAGGCAACAGATGTCCCTGTCAGAAAGCCTGCCTGTCTCCATTTCACGCTCTGGGGTAATCAATAGTTAGTATCCCATCAATGAGTGACTCTTCTGTTTAGTCAGTTTGGTGGTTTCTGTGGTGAATTGTATAACCAATTATGAAAATTTTTTTTATAAATGCTCATTAGGTACCCAGGTTAGTCCTCCCCACCCCCCAAATCTTATTGGACCTATATAAAGTGTCGAAAGGACCACTGGTTCTTTGGCTCCCAAGCAGTAGCCTCAGCAGAGTCCCAGTGGGAAAGTGTCCTTAGAAGTCCAGCCTTGATTTCCAGGAACAGAACTGCCACTGTATGGCTCTGAAGAACTCAGCATTCCCTCCTCGTGCAGTAGAAAGTTGCACTCAAATTTCCTCCCCTTCTTTCATCCCTAAAGCTACCTAGAGGGTTTTGGAGATGTTCAAAGGGTCTGTCTTCTTTCTGCAATTGATCACGTAGAAACGAGAAGGGAAACGGCTTCTTTCTTCGTACCGTTTTTCTGTGTTATTCACCGAGACCAGGAATGACAAAATGATTTAAGCACACGTGGGCTCTTTAAATAACAAGAGATTCCGTGGGGTGCTAAGTGGAGAAGGGGTTTTGTGGTCACATTTGGGGATAGAGAAAGCATGCTGTGGTTGATTAGTGATGTCTGTCGTGGGCATGGCAGCGGAGGAGGGGTAAGTAAGTGCCACGTCTTTGTCATTCCTGATGCAGATCCTGTGAAAAATGAAGTTCACGCAGAGATGGTAGTGCTAGCCTCACAGTCAAGGGGTGTTTACTACATGCCAGTCACTCTTTAAATTCTCAGAGCACCCCACAGGTCGTTAGCAACGAGGAAATGTACAGATGAAGGGACCGAGGCACAAAGAGGTTAAGTGACTAAGTCAGGCAGTGGGGAGCTGAGATTCAAAGCCAGTCAGCCTTGTTCCAGGGCCCACGTCCTTAGCCGCTGAGCCTGTACTGTCATTTGTTGGTTAAGGCTGTGTCTTTGCTCTCCGGGGACTGATGCAAGGCTCAGCTGCAGTTCAGAAGAAAATGTAAAATTGAGTTTACAGACCCTGTTATTTTTGGGCCTCGGGCTCTAGAATAAAAGAGAAGATAAGGTCCAGGCGAACCTTAGCAGTTGAGGAGAGAGCTGCATTTGAATTTCTGCCTTTCTCTCCAGTTCAGGTAGGATTTCTGGTCTCCCCACCTCCACCAGCACTGCTGTCGTCTCGTGGAGAGTAGACGAGTGGGAAGGGAAGGGGGATGGACACGTAAGGAGTGGAACCGAGGAGTCCCTTTGTCTCCAGGCCGTGTGGCTGGGGAAACTATTTCTCAGTGGCCATTTCTAGTGATCGTTTTTGCATGAAAGATACATGTGCATATATAGAGATTTTTTTAGAACATGAAATGATATATCTTTCATAATGGCGAAAGAGAGACTTACTGATTAACAGCCATTATTGACTACGTCTCATCCTGAGCTAGCACTGTGGAGGTGGTAAGCCCAAAGGACATGAGCCCTGCCCTCCCTGAGCTTACAGTCTACCCGTCCAAACAGTGATCGAGTGGAAGGTGCAGCTGTGGTGGGTGCTGCAGAAAAGCGTCGTCGGCAGGACGAGGGGCCAGAGCACTGGGGGCCTTGAAGGCCGTGTTAGGATTTTGACTTGGCCTCGACACAGCGAGAAGCCATGTGGGTGGGGGAAGAGGTTGGGGAGATTGTGTCTCATAAGCAGAGTTACTCTTTCTTCTCGAAGTTAATATGACCACACTGGGAAGAAGGAATTAGAGAGAGGGTTGTAGAAACACTCGGAAGAGGCCACAGCAGTTGGGACTGGAGTGGTTTTGGTGGTGAAGAGAAGGATTCTAAAGATGTTTGGAAGGCAAAATTAGCTAGATTTGGTGAGAAATTAGACGTGGGTGGCGAGGGAAAGAGAACAGGTAGGAGGATGGCCGTCCTGTTCCCAGAGGTTGGGATGCTGGAAGAAGGTCAGGTTTGGAGTGGAAGGTTGTCTTGTGTTGGAGGTGCTTTGGAGTTGTCCCAGAGGAGAGGTCAAACAGGCTACACTTGTTACTGTAAATATCTACTGGGTTATAAATAACACCTGATAGACTATCCTGGGGAACCAAGTATTGGGGGAAGTTTTTTTTTAATTTATAATTTGTTGATTTAAAAAAAAAAAAAAAATCCGAGCAAACATATTTTCATTTAGAAAATAAGAAATCTAACAATGACCAAGGAAATACATAAAGGTAAACATCTTGCCTGATTTCCCTGGTTATTTTCATTTTTGCTTGTTTCTCTGGCAGTCTTTTCCTATCAGCATTTATGTTTTAATTAGTTGTCATTAAATCTACATCCAGTGTGTAATAGGATTTTCACTTACCATTATCCCAACCATTTTTCCACATCCCCATGTCTCTCTCAAAAGCAAAATATATAGCACAATATTTCATGCTTTTTGTTTGTTTTTTTATCCTCACCCCAGGACATTTTTCCATTTTTTGTTCAGATAGAGTGGGAGGGAGAGAGAGGAAGAGAGAGAGAGAAACATCGCCGTGAAAGGGACACATCGAGTGGCTGCCACCCACACCACCAACCAGGGCCAGGGACAAACTGCAACCGAGGTACATGCCCTTAGCGGGAACCGAACCTGGGTCTCTCTGGACCACAGGCCGGCGCTCTAACCACTGAGCCAAACCGGCCAGGGCTATTTCATGCTTTGATAAATCATGGATTATAACTTCCCAAGCAATTTCTCTATTTTGGATATTTAGCTGATTTTAAGATTTCATTGTTAGAAGGAATGATACTTCAATGAGTACTGTTATGCACATCACCTTTTTTTTTCCCCTCTTGCATTGTTCTTAGGTGGAATTCTTTTGAGTGGGATTAGTGTGTCGAAGCATTTGAATGGGCTTACGGCTCTTGATGTGTGTCAAGGAAGGTGATCTAGAACCACGGCTGTGGAGGGCTCCCCATAGAACAGAACTCTGGCCTCCGCGTGGGGCGTCATCACATTTCCTTGGATTCAGTAACCAGTGGTCCTAACCATAGGAGTGGGTGCTTGACCAATCCCGTGCCGCCTGACCTTTCCTCTTGCACCTGCCCATTGTACTGTCGGTCTTGCTCTCTTGTTCACCTGAGCTGGCTCCTTCCCTCCTCCCAGCTTTTCTCTTCTGACGACAGGGCCACAGCTGCTCAGACCCAGTGGAACTCCCCGAACTACCTAGTGGCATCCCAAAGGGATCATCTAAACCCCCGAACTACCTAGTGGCATCCCAAAGGGATCATCTAAACCGGACCGAGCTTCAGAAGCCTTCAGGTTTAGAAGAGCTCAGTGGCGTTGAGGAGGCTGCCTAGGGCCCCCATGGGTTTGGGAGGGGTTCTCAAGACGTTCCGTGACCCAGTTCCTGCCTGCCAACCTGTCTTTCAATGCCATTGCTTCTCAACATATCACCTCTAGTATGCCCAGACTCGACTCTGTTCTGGCCCAGGGTGGTGCCTGGTTACATCTACTCCTGGCTCTCACCCAGGAGGCTTCCGCACCCTCCACCTCCCCAAACCCTGCCTCTCCTTTAAGACTCTGCATGAGTTGCAATTCCTCCAGGTCGCTGGCTCTGACTTCCCAACTGACCGCCCCTCTGCTGTGAACTCTTCCAGTACCTTTAGTCCACGACTTAGCACATAATTGTAAGCTTTCTGGTAGAGGTTGCTTTTGAATCATTTGCTCTCCTGGAGGGCAGGGAAAATGTCGTACTCTCCTCCCCTGACCCCTCAGAGCCTAGCATTAGTGCTAAAGCCTTTGCTAGGGTTCAGTAAATCTAACGTGACCCATTACATCAAAATTGTGCTATGTGATGCAGTGTGAAAGCGTTCTAGCAATTCATCTCACGCATTTTCAGCATAAATGCCCACATTCATAAGTTGCTGAGGATATTACTAAAGTACTCATAGATGGACCATATTCAGATGTTCTCTATCTGGTTGCAGTTTGGGGGTCATGGGAACCCATTAATACTGGAAAACCATAACCTGGTCACTTTTCATTCCTAAGTCTTTGATATGCACTAGGGTGGGAAGGATGATTGGTGGAGGGCACCAGGGTGGATGGACAGTAGTAACCAGCACTAGAGTATCTTTCTGGTCTATAAGAAGGTGAGTATCTGGCTCCTGGAAATAGTGCTTGAATTGTAGTGAAATGATGTGTTCCTGAAAAATTGGTCTCGATGTGACCTTGCTGTCTTTATTACTCACTTGATTGATTGGTTCAATGTTCTGATCCTCAGGAGTCTTCAGGGAAGTGACCCTGGGTCATCCTGGAAACCAGAACTTCCCTAGTTCTCTAGGGGATGGCCTGGGACAGTAGGGACCCTCTGGCTAGGAGTCAGGAGCGTTCAGGCTGGGCTGGCTCTGCCTCCGCCCGCCATACAGCTCTGTACAAGGTCGGGCCTCCACACACTCATTTGTCAAATGACCTGCCTGCACCGGACCATCTCTAGGCTCTTCTGTAACAGATCAAAAACAAAATAACCAAAACTCTCTAATGAGGGTAAACTTTGGTGCCATTGCTAACTGGAAACGAGAAGTAGACTCTTTGACACATTTAATGACATGTGTTAGCACGTGTGTAGAACTTTGCACTTAACTTGTATTTCTTTCTTTCTCTCCCTTTTTTTTCTTATAGCCAAACATCATGTCAATGGCAACAGAACAGTCGAACCTTTCCCAGAGGGAACACAGATGGCTGTGTTTGGTAAGATATCAACGGAAAGAAAACCCAAATTGTGTCCAAAGACGAGCGCCAATTTCTGAGTTTTTCGCAAGTGTCCTCAGGGCTTCAAAATCTGGGCTCTTCTAGATATTTACGAATCATTGGAGCCAAAAAAACAAAAAACAAAAAAAACCCCTACTGCTTTCTTAGTATTTCTGGGCTCAGAAAAGCTTATTCTATAGAGTTTTATATGCTTTTCCCCCCTCACCTTGCTGACCAAAGATCAAAGTGTGTATTTGTTATTTTTTACATCCACACTATGAATTAACCTAATAATTTAGGACTTGAGTTTTGCTTTCCTAGGAGGAATTTTCCCCCTCCCATATTGATATGTAACTCTGATAAAGGCTGGGTGGGTTTCAAATAGTTTTGAGTTGTTATTTCACAAAAATCAATCTAGTTGAATGCCCTGTGTCTCCTCCATTATGAATTGAGCACATTCCTTAGGAGAAAACATCAATTAAAAGGTTTTAAGCAGAATCAAATCTAATCCCTGAGTGTATACAGGGGTGGACAAAAGTAGGTCTACAGTTGTGAGGACCCATCAGGAGGTCAGGTCGATGAGGGCTGTGGTGTGGCCACCACCATCACCAGACCTCTCGCCCCAGGGGACTTTTGGGGTGTTGTCAAAGATAAGGTCTCTTCAGAGAAACCACATACTGTGGGTGATATTGTACCTCGGTGCACTGTGCCATTGTGCCATTCTTCTGAGTTAATAAAGCTATTGGAATAATCCTAACCTGCATGTCTTTTTCCATATGAACAACTGTAAACCTACTTTTGTCCACTCCTGTATTCACAATGTGCAGCTATGTGGCTGAGCAGTCCTTCTCTGTTAGACTCCTACACTTTTGGTGGAGAGGTCCTTTTTTAAAAAATCTGTTTTTATTGATAAAAAAAATTTTTTTCTTTATTAATTTTAGAGAGATGGGGAGAGATAGAAACATCAATGAGAGACAACATCAGTTGGCCTCCTCCTGCATGCTCCTCACTGGAGATTTGGCCCACAACCTGGGCATGTGCCCTGACTGGGAATCGAACCAATGACCTCTTGGTGCATGGGTCCACACCCAACCACTGGCAGGGCTTACTGATTTCTTTTTAGAGAGAGAGGAAGGGAGAAGGAGAAAGAGAGAGAGAGAGAGAGAGAGAGAGAGAGAGAGAGAGAGAAACACCCTTGGCTGCCTCCTGCACACCCTGTACTGGGGATCGAGCCCATAACCTAGGCATGTGCCCTGACCAGTAATCAAACCAATATGTCTCTGTCCATTGGACGATGCTCTAGCCACTAAGCCATACCAGCCAAGTGGGGGCGGTCCTTTGTAATTAATGGTTTCTTACCTCTATATCTAATGCGGTCTAAACTTCCTTCAAAATGTCTCTACACTTGGCACTTTCTGCCTTCCTCACTCCCCTTCCTCTCCTCCCTCCCCTTCCTCTCCCCTCCTCCCTCCCCTTCCTCTCCCCTCCTCCCTCCCCTTCCTCTCCCCTCCTCCCTCCCCTTCCTCTCCCCTCCTCCCTCCCCTTCCTCTCCCCTCCTCCCTCCCCTTCCTCTCCCCTCCTCCCTCCCCTTCCTCTCCCCTCCTCCCTCCCCTTCCTCTCCCCTCCTCCCTCCCCTTCCTCTCCCCTCCTCCCTCCCCTTCCTCTCCCCTCCTCCCTCCCCTTCCTCTCCTCTCCTCCCTCCCCTTCCTCTCCTCTCCTCCCTCCCCTTCCTCTCCCCTCCTCCCTCCCCTTCCTCTCCCCTCCTCCCTCCCCTTCCTCTCCTCTCCTCCCTCCCCTTCCTCTCCTCCCTCCCCTTCCTCTCCTCTCCTCCCTCCCCTTCCCCTCCCCCCTCCCTTCCTCTCCCCTCCTCCCTCCCCTTCCTCTCCCCTCCTCCCTCCCCTTCCTCTCCCCTCCTCCCTCCCCTTCCTCTCCCCTCCTCCCTCCCCTTCCTCTCCCCTCCTCCCTCCCCTTCCTCTCCTCTCCTCCCTCCCCTTCCTCTCCTCCCTCCCCTTCCTCTCCTCCCTCCCCTTCCTCTCCTCCCTCCCTCCCCTTCCTCTCCTCCCTCCCTCCCCTTCCTCTCCTCCCTCCCCTTCCTCTCCTCCCTCCCCTTCCTCTCCTCCCTCCCCTTCCTCTCCCCTCCTCCCTCCCCTTCCTCTCCCCTCCTCCCTCCCCTTCCTCTCCCCTCCTCCCTCCCCTTCCTCTCCTCTCCTCCCTCCCCTTCCTCTCCTCTCCTCCCTCCCCTTCCTCTCCTCTCCTCCCTCCCCTTCCTCTCCTTCCTCCTCTTTCTTCCATGTATCTGCTTCCTCCCTACCCTATCTCCACCTCCTCCCGTCCTCTTCTGTCCAACCACATTCTGGGACCCTTCCCTTATCACTCTCTCAGGGATTTCCATCTCTGTGCTCTGGATTTTCAGTGTTTAGTTTCTTGTGGCTCTTTCCCCTCAGCCTTGATGCAGGTTCTGTGATCCCTCCCATCCTGAAGCCTGCAGTGCCCTGGCTTCCCCTGGCCTCCAGCGTCCTCCTGGCCTGCTCTGGATGGCGGTGTCCTGCAAGGGCGTTGTTGTGTAACCGCTTTCCGCACTGGTGTTTCTGTGTGCTGGAAGCTGGTCTCAGGACAACCCATGTCTAAGTCAGCATATTCAGGACAACATGTTTCCTTCATCCCAGAGATGGAGCCAGAGCTAGTTATCAGCGATGACTAACAGTGGGAGACTTGAGCGCGCTCTGTGGGGTGTTTGTGAATCTTGCTCTGTGCTGGCTGTCACCTTTCACAATGTACTGATCAGAGGTTAGGGATTGTTAGGCTCAGAAGTTTAAATGGGGGTTTTGATGTTCATAGAAAAAAGCATAATGGACACTTGAAAAGTGTGTGCTAAATATTTGACTTGTCCCTTCCCTCGGAGGGATGGTGTGCAGGTGTGTTTTACCTGGGTTGCAGGCCCAGCGCAGTGTCTGTTAGCAGGGAGCACAGATTGCACATCGATCTTCAAAGGGCTCTCTGATGATTATTTTTGTCCTTTGGATTTCTCAACCCTGAGGTATGTTAGAACTTAGGTTTCATGTCGTATTGGGAAGTGTAAAATACAACGGACCCATCTTAGCAGGTTTCCCTGTTGTGATATGGGGGGGGGGGGCCTTGTACCCGAAGTAGAGTCCTAGTACCTGTCAGGCCAACGACAGCCACAGAATTGGAAATATCTGTGACTAAAGCTCTATGATGAGACTACTATTGTTATTTGTAGTATCATCATCATCATCATCGTCATCATCATCATCATTATCTGAGATTTGGTTTATAATGGCTTCCCCCCAAATCCTAACCCAAGGCCTTTATTGTTTGCCTTTGGGCAAGTAACTTCTCTCCAAGCCTCGGCGCTTTTACCCGCAGAATGAGCAGGCTGATGGGGCGCTTTGAGACCCTTCCCTTTGCTTCTGTTTCTAACATTCAGGACCAAAGGCGCATCCTGCCCCCGAGAAGCCCACTGTGATGAATCACGTGCATAATTTGCACAAGTGCAGAATTTACAGATTGTAAGATAGAATATCTGTAGACATCTAAGGATTTTTACAGTATTAGAACTGCAGTTTGGCTCTTACAGATGCGTCAGTGAAGACCCCTGGTTTGGTCAAGTATATGCAAACATTTTATGTTAATGTTTTAAAAACCATTCTCACTTGCATTACTTGTCCACCTGGTATCCTGTAGTGGAGTGAGGGAGCGGTTGGCTTTTAGGGTGGGCTTCTCTATTTGGGGTTGTTTATAGTATACACAATAGGTCAAACTAAGTATAATGCTTAGCTCTTTGACATATGTCGGGCATTTAATTCTCCCAGCACCTTGCAAGGCTGGTAGGATTATGTAATCCCTTTCTCAGAAAGGTCATATGATTTATCCAAGGTCACTCGGCCAGTGAACTCCAGTGGAGGAGTTCGAATTGTAGCCCCAGTCTGACTGACCCTGAAGTCCACACTCTTTTGACTGTGTCACCTGACTCTTGACACAGGTTGAAGAAGCCCTGGGAGCCTCTGGTAGATTTGCAAGTGCCTTTCAACTAGATCCATGCACAAAAGTGTGATTTACAGCCAAGCCAATTTGGCAAATTGATTTGTGAATTTCTATTCGTTCCCAGGGTGCTCTGAAGGACTCTTGAGACACAGCTTTTGCTGGGAAAATACTGCTTGGAGTGACGTCTCCTACTATTTATTTTTCCCATTTGATTTTAGTAGCATGTATTAACGTAGAGGAGAGAGTCTTACATACACTTGACTATGAGTTCACCAAAGCAACAATAGCATATTCTACTTGTCCAAACTCATTCTTCGCTCTTGGAGGTTTTAATATTTTATGCCAAAATTGTATCACTCGTTTCAATTTCATTATCTATTGGTTAATCATTTGAATGTACCTTGCTGTCTAAATAGGAGCTTTTAAATCCAATCTACTTGGAAAGTGGCCATTGAACTGCTGTTGGGCATTTAGATTGGAGTGGATAATGTAAGGAAGGGAAGGGTGAAGGACGGGGCACACTTCGTTGTGAAAAATACACAGATGTGTTATTGTATCAAGTAAGCAGAGAATATACAGATGGTTCCCTAGTTTCTGGCATAAAATCTTCACAGGCTAATTCTAAATTAAGACGTTCACCTTTTCCGATTTTCTCTGCGGCCCATTGATCAGTCCGTGTCTTGTGTCTCTGTGACCACAGTTCTTTACTTCTTTGTCGCTCTCTCCTCTGCCTTTTAGGATGGTGCTAATGAAGGTAATAGGCTCTGCCCTCCCGTGGGTCTCTCCTTGTCTGTGTATGATGCTCTCTTTCAAGTCAGTGGGAGCCCCCTTTTCACAAGCCGGAGGAGCAGAACCGAACGTTTTGCAATTACTTAATGCCTTTGTTCCTGGTAGCTGAGAGGGCCCCGTGGCTAACATCCCTTTAATCCTCCAGCGGTCCTGTGAAGTGGGCATTACTGTGCTCCTTTAGAGACAGAGAAACTGAGTCACCCAAA